AGTTTTTGAAATGTAGAAACTGAATGCAATATTTTCATTTGCCTTTAGCTAACGTTATCTCTGCTACTTTCCCTAATACATTTAATCTCTGCCCTAGATAAATTTCTAATAATCATATTATGCTCATCTCTAATGCACATATGTGTGGCTCACCTGTACAGGTGTAGGTCTTTTGCAAACCTGTGCACGTGTCTGGAAAATGGAATGAATGGAAAATCCTTTTTGTGTGAAAAAAAACAGTTTTTACTTGTTTTTTAAATGAATATATACGCCTTGGAATTTTACATAATTAACTGACAATGAGTGTGTATGTGTGCGTATTTATGCAGGAGCATTGGAGGACAGACCTGCGTGTGTGAGGCATTTAAGCAGAAAGCAGCTACTGACAACAACAACATGAACTCGTTCACCAATTCCCAGGGGACTTAAGTTAATTATCACATTTTTTACACACAATTTTACTTTGCATTGATGCGTTACTGTGGGCTGACGGCTGTCGGCTCTCGGCTGTGGACTGGGGGCATGGCCAGGGCGAACATTAAAGCGTAATTATGTGTATAATTTGCTTGTAATTTGCTGTAAAGCACATGATATGAACGCGATTAAACAGCTCCAAAAAGCTCAAGCAGCTAATTAATATGCAATTAAAAATAATTCAAAATTTCGATTTTTATTTTTAGCACAAAAGAAAAGCGATTCAATTAGTGAGAATTCTATTGAGCCACAAATATATATAGAAAATAAATATATAGAAAATAATATATTATTACCTTTAGCCAATTAGCACAGCTTTTACCCTCTCCATCTCTCTGTCTCTCCCTTTTCTTCTCTTTCATGCAAAGCGCGTGTTTGGCTCTTTGGCCTTCTTATCAATATTAACAATTTGCAAATGACTTTCACTTCAATCGCGAGGACTGCGTAATTTGTAGCCCTTGCGAAAAACAAACAAATAAATGGAATTATTTTTAACTGAAATGCTTGTAAGCATTGCGAAATTCTATCGAGAGCGCTAAGTATGTAGGCTGGCCACGTGCTAAGCTCCCATAAAATGCACATTAGAACGAGTGGAATTGCACTGCAATGATGTGATGGACGCGCAGATGCCCTACATCAATATACTTTATATAATATATAAAATATTAATACGTTCAGACACAAGACGACGCTGGAGCAGCAGCAGAAGAATATGAATTTAAAATGAGTCTGAAAATTGTGGTAATTTAATAAACCACATCAAATTGATAGATAAATATAGCTGTGACTTTATGTATATAGATGTATGTAAGTATATATGATTTACTTCTGGTGCTGCTTCTAAGCAACTTCTGATCTGAGCTAATCTAAAAGACTTCATATACATTGTCTGCATATGAAAGAATCGTGGTATAGCTCTATAGCTGTGGGTATATAAAAGCATATATGAGCTTTAAATCTAGTTCTCTGAGCTGCTGAATCGGAACTATATGATTCGATATATAAAAGCTATGTCCCACACAAGATAAATTCTTTTATAACTAGCTAAATTGTAAACATCTTCAATATAATTTTTTCATATATGTTGGACTTACAACTGAGTCAAAGTGAAGACCCTTTTGCATCTATATGCAGAGTCTAGGGTATTCGGGCAAGCAGTCAGGAAACAGCATCGGGCACAGGATCTTCGCGCATTACATTAATATTTATCAGCCATGCAATTACGATTAGAGCAGACAAACTATTGACTGAGGCGATGGCCCTATGGCTCTAGCGCCAAAAAAGATGGCAGCCAAATTGTCAGACAAAGCGTTGCGATTGCCGGGCACAATTTATTGATTCGACGCATTGAAATAGTTCTCAGCGGAGCCATTTCAAAGATTTGTACGACAACATTTTTCGCCAGTTCCTGTGTTTCATTTTTTGGTTTTTGTTTTCGTGCCTTTTCGCTGAAATAGCTGAAAATTCTAACAGACGCGCATAAAAATTCGAATGCGCGTAGTTAAACGCCCATACACACGGAACGCTATGCTATAAAAGGGGCGTGGCAGTGGCTATTCAATGAGACAAAGCCCAGCATATTGGGATTTTGTCCGTCCCCAAATCGTTTTTTTCTTCTTTTTGGCAAGGGGATCATTTAAGGGCGGAAGGGATGTCGCTTTTGACTGCTATGTGTCGCCTGAACGATAAAGCAATGACAAAAGTCACAGCGATTAAAGTTCAATTGGTGTAACTATCGACTATTAGAAATTTTGTTGAACGAAAGGGGAAAAGCAGATAAAAATCTCGAATTGCTGCATGCAAACAATTTCTGCTTATTTATAACTTGTATCAAATGTGAATGTTATGCAGCATAAAAATGCTAGTAATGGAAATAAATATTAAAAATATTTTGAATATTTTCAGATTTTATTTTTATAAGTCTCGCATAGTTGACTTTAATGTTTTCAAACGATTTTTCTAGACAATTTACGATTTCATCTTTAATTTGACAGTTGAGCTTATTACTTTTAGAATAGGAGTTTATTTAATCGGGCAATTATATATTGAGTTAACATAAAACATTGCTATAATTCTATATTAAGAGTGGTTCCACACAGTAGAGAGAGTTGTTCACTGGCCGACTTGTCTTACTGTAGCTCTCAAGCTGTGGATCTTTTAGTTTTTCGTATTATACATTTAAATACCATGCCATCATTTTTTATAGATTTATTTGCTATGAATTTAGTGAAGATTGCTTTGACACTATCAGAATCCTACCCAAGGCAAAATTTAAGAGATTTGGCTATGAAATAGTGTCTAAAATTTCTTAGTAATTTTTTATTTATGTTTAATAATCTAATCGTGCCAAAATTATTAAGAAAATTATTTTAATTTAAATAAAGAAAGGTGAGTGACTTCGTTATCAATAGAAGATGTGTGCAGAGAGGGTCGAGGGGAAGCCACTTGGGTTGATAGTTTGTGAAATATATATACATCATTTTGTAGCTTTCGGAATGGCTTATGCAGCTTCAGTCTGGTATTTTTGTTTATTAGTACAAGCATATATACTTAATATAGTTAACTTTACACAGGCTTAATTTAAAGCGAAAGTTTAATGATGTTCTTCGGAGATAAGTGTTTCAACTACTTTTACTTTGCCTATTTATCTCAATTATCAGTGTCAACTCTCTCTTTGAGAAGTTTTAAAATACTTAACTCGATTAAACGCAAATAAATTATGCATTCATTTACAAGTCTAGTTTCAAAGATCTTCCGTTTTGCCGCAAGGCCATGTCAAATTTCGCTATTTAATTAGTTCTAATCGCTTGGCAGCTGATGCAATTCAAATGTCAATTGCGTTGATACGTTGATATAGTGATTCGAATCCCATTCGATCTGATGTGATCTGAACTGTCGGCAGTCTCCTGTCTGCCGTCTGCTGTCGCTACAAACAATGCAGGTATGCTGGCAATTATGAAACAAACTGCAGCTAAATGCGTGATAAACTGAAAAAAAAACTCTACATAAGTTCAAGTCTAGAGACAGCCTCATGCCTTGTGCTGTCACCAATTTAAGTTATTCAGCACAATTTTTTTCTCTTTCGGCGGCTAATTGCATATTTCGGAAGTTCTATAAAGGCATTGAGGTGGACGAATTCTAACGGCGTCTATTAATTAACCTCTAAAAGGCAATGACAGCCGCCGAGCTGAAACTGAACTGAACTGAACTAAACTTAACTAACTAACGTTTGTCCACTAAGACGCCAGTAACTGCTTATCTATATACCGTTAGCTTTTATATCATACTTTGGCTCGCTTGTCTATATAGCAGCCACAAAAAATAAAAAAACCAACCAACTTGTTTAAACAATGCATGCTCAGTTTATTATGACAACAGCTCAGTGTCAATAATTGTGCCACAAAATTGTGGAAAACCAACAAATTTTTTGCAAATATAAACTAATATTTTTTTTTGGGTAAACCTCGGGGTTCTATACTCTATAAGTGGGAAAGGGAAAGCAGAAATTTAGAAAAATAATTTTAATTTTATTAATGTAAAAATGAAATAATTTTAGCTATGCATAACTCTTCTACTAACTCTATCTAACTCTAACTCTAACTCTATCTTCGACTCTACCTTCGACTCTAACTAACTCTAACTAACTCTATCTTCGACTTTAGAAGTTTAGTTTAAGACTTCGCCTGCAGCTACAAAAGTTCGAAGTACCCAATAAACATGTTAGAGTAACCTAGAATCGAGTTCTGGCAATTGCAAGTATTGTATTTTTGGCAAAGCAATTAGTCCACATTGTTTCTTGATATACATTGAGAGTAACAAAGCTCAAGGTCTTGCATATTAGCTAAGGCTAAGTTTGCCTAACAAACATGATAGATCTACAACTTAGCTAAGCAAAAGATTATAGCATAACATTCTATTCAAACAACATTTAAGTCACAATTCAGTTAGAATCATATGAATAGAAATTTTATTCGTATTTCTATTCCAATTCTCTGACTGAACAACTCACTTGATGCCCCCGTCATAATGCATGTTAATCAACAAAAATAATTGGCACACAATCAATTTTCCAGCCAGCAGACAGATTGAATATGCCTGATTGTTTTGAGTGCTCATTATAATATAATTTGCATGAAGTTGCCAACAAAAATCTTCTCATGAGCAAACAATTCCAGCACCTGGAACAGGTACAGCGCAACAAATCGTATCGCTTGTGGTATATATATTTTTTAAATATCTCTTTGTTGTTTTAACAATTAAAGGTTTCTGTCAAAAGGAGAAATGCCAAAGCAGAAAACTGGAACTGGAAGTGGAACTGAAGCTGAAACATGTGTCTAAAAATAGACGTGGGAATTCAGTTTTCCCGATGCAGAGACCTGCAACTAAGGTAATTGCATGGTTAACTGAAATACCCAATTAATTGGTTCGGCTTTATGCCCGATATTTCAATGGAAAATCGGCTCAGGTTGCAGTTACAGTTACAGTTACAGTTAGTCAGCGCACGTCAATGTCGCTCGCTCTCGCTCCATCTCTATTAGTTTCTCTACCTCTCTCTGTGAGACAATAAACAATCCCAAGCGCACGGCAGTTGATTTATCTAGTGCTTAAGTTCTCCGTATCCACTTGTCTAGGTTTTATTTGAGTGTCAGCTGCGCTAGCAACTGCACGCGCCAAACGCACACGCTGTCCAATCCGTTGACAACTCCATTGCGAATGCATTTCGAATTACGATCCGCGCATCCATTTGATCTGAGAAATCACGTTTCACTGATATTTACGACTTGTATCGTTGTCGTCGCGCCTTCATCGTAACTTCCGCGTGTGTGTGCCTCGCAGGCTATATAAGGAACAACTCCATCAAAATGATATTCGGTCGCTGCACACGCAAGCAAATACTCACAATGAGTGCCTTGGCTGCTGGCGCTGTCTTGGCAATCGTTGCCATCATTGTGTTCAACAACCGGGCGGAGGCCAAGCTGCCGCCCTGGGCTCAGCCCAACAGATTGAACAAGTGCCTCAAAACACGGCCAAACACAACAGAATCGACGCTGGAACTGGTGCATATTGTGTTCAGACATGGCATACGCACACCTGTCGACACCTTTCCCAACGATCCTTATATCAAGGACAGCTTTAAGCCCACTGGCTGGGGGCATGTGACTAATGTGAGTTGGTAGCATCTGAGACTTCCATATGAGGAAAGAAAATATATTAAAAATAATTAAAAATTGATTTAAACATTTTCTGTAACTTAAAGACTTTAAATTTATATTATATCTTAAGGAATAATTATAAAACAAATTCTTTAAATTTTTTATAATTTTATTTTACAGCGCGGCAAGAAAGAGTTATTCGACATGGGTCGTTGGCTGCATCGGCGCTATGGCGACTTTATGGGTCCCTTTTACAGACCTGACGTAAGTTTCACTTTTACTCTAAACTATGCTGATGAATATATATCGAATCTATATACTATATAGCGCCTACACGCGCAATCAACAGCCTCGCCGAGAGCCATGATGTCGCTGCAAACTACACTGGCCAGCATGTTTGAGCCGCGCGGCACGCCCATGGAGTGGAATAAGCAGCTCAACTGGCAGCCCATACCCATTCTGTCAGAGCCACTGGATCAGGACTCGGTATGCTGATCACTATATACAAATAAACAGAGTTTTTAATTACAAGTTGTTTAACAGCTGCTGCTTGTGCGCACGCCTTGCCCGCGCTACTTCGAGGCACGGGATGAGGTGTTCGAGCTGCCCGAAGTAATAGCTCAGCAGGCGCCCTATGCAGATATGCTGCGAGAGCTGAGCAATCTGACGGGCATGGCCATGCGCAATGCCGAGGATGTCAACTCCTTGTATATAACTCTGCTAGCCGAACAGGAGTTTGGCTATAAGTTGCCCGACTGGGCCAAGGACTACTTTCCAGAGCGCATGCAATTCCTGGCCGAGCAGAGCTATATCTACAATGCGTATACGCCCGAGATGCAGAAGATCAAGGGCGGCCCCTTCCTGCGTAAAATGTACGACGAGATGCTGGCAAAGCAGGCGGGCACCCTGAAACCCAAGGAACGCGGCATGTTCATCTATACGGGCCACGACTGGACGGTGGGCAATATACTCTCCGCCCTGGGTCTCTGGAAACGTCAGATGCCGCGCTTCGCCGTGATGGCCATATTTGAAACGCATCGAAACCTCAAAACAGGGGAATACTATGTGGAGGTAATGCAACTTATGCCTTAGCCTTTGCAAGGGGCAATAATATATCTGCTTTCATCTCTGCAGATCTTCTTGCGCAACGATGAATTTGGCTGCCTGGAGCAGTTGAAGCTGGCCGACTGCGAGCTGCAATGTCCACTGAATCGCCTCGTCGAGCTGAGCGAATCGGTGCTGCCCAATGAGCCCATGGAGCAGCGTTGTCGCGCTCGTAACGCCAATTTTGTGGAACCGCCGCCACGCAAAATCGATCAGTAACAAAATTTCTGAGAAATCATCGCAGAGCGCTCAGTATTCAGTATTAGATGATGAAAGCTGGTCATGCATTCAGAGGGCAATAAATACAAAATCGAAATAAACTACATACAAAAACCCCAAAAAGAAATCAAATAATTGTTTACCAGAATTGTATTTTTTTTTGGGTAAATTAGCTTTTTGTGCGGGGCACTTTCGCCTTGATTATATTTAATTTTGTGTGTTATTAAAAGTTTTTTTTATTTTTATTGTGCAGCAACTGTTTGCGTATCGTGCAACGTCATCTCTCACGCTGTTCGCTATCTGGGCAAACATATTCTCGATTCTCTCGATTTCGTTCTACATAATCGCGACTTAAAAGCCGCTCGGCTGCTATTAGTGCAGTCACTAGACGAGTGAGTCTCGACGCAGCTGGAAGTTCGCCAATCTAATAAAACACTATACACACATATAAATATATATATATTCATATATATATAAATCAAATCAAATTATTTATAATGTGGCTCAAGTATTTGGTTAGCCTGTGGCTGGGCCTGCTTCTTGTGGGAGCAGCCATTGTGCCACAGGATGAGCATCCACGAGGACTGGACAGCTCAAACTCAACGTTGGAGCTTGTGCATGTGGTAAATAATTCTCAACTCTTATAATTGCTTTCACTCTGTAAGCGCGATATATCAAACATATATGTGTGTAGATACATATACTTATGTAGTGCCGAAAATAATTTATACACATTGCGACTCGTAGGCCCTAGACCATAAAATTATTAAATGTGTGTTTCCACTTTTGTGAGCTATTTAATCTTTATAATGAGACTATAAAGAGGCTTTAATTTAGGCACTCATAGTGAAAAGGAGAGGTAAACATCTTTGTTATGAGTGAAAATGTGATAGCAGGTCATATGAACTCAGCTTTAATTGAAATTATTTCCATATTCTTATGTGAGTTGATAGAGTATCTACTGTCAGAACTTCATTTATTATAAAAATTAATTTGTGGCTTATTGAAATATGAAGATATTTAAATATACATTTCGATAAATGCATAAATTAATTTAGAATTCATTTAGAATCCATTGTTAGAACATGATTAATATTCAATTATATTCGCTTGAAATTGAAGGCGTATGGCGTATACTTAATATCAAACTGTTAATTGAGATAGAAGTGTGTTGGAATACATAAAATTCGAATTACTTGAAATTAATTTGGAAACCCTTGTTCAAACGGTATTTATAATAATATTAATTAGTTTTGCTCTATACCACTTGACCACTTCTAGACCAGTTTGAGCAACATGACGTATACTTAATTCCAAATGGTTTTATCATGATTTTAAGCAATCCAACCGGTTTGCTAAGCAAATTAAAAAATGCTTGCGCAAAGCTAATTATTTTAATGTATTTCTAATTAGAATGCAACAAGCAACTACATAAAAAATTATTGTTAATGAGCTACTAAAAGCAAGTGAAGAATCGACTTGACTAGACCGGACACAAGTATACCCTGTAGCAAGCTTTCAAGATACTGTCTGCTTGATGGAAGTCAGTCATAGGAGCTGATCCTTTAGCCATTAATTGCAAATTTAATTAAACTCATTCATTTATAGGTTATTTATTTGCCTACATCTTTTTTTAAAAATTTCTTTCATTTCAATATTTTTAAATATTCATAATTCATTTACAGCTGTTTAGACATGGCCCGCGCACACCTGTCAACACATTCCCCAAAGATCCACATATAAACGAAACTTATGAGCCCTATGGCTGGGGTCAGCTGACGAATGTAAGTGAAATAATTAAATAATAAATTAAAATAACATTCTCATTCTATAGGCAGCCAAAGTGGAGCTCTACAAAATAGGCAAACAGTTGCGCAAGCGTTACAAAAACTTTCTGCTGCCCTACTATCAACCGGATGTGAGTTGCCTAATTCGATCTTGGGCTAATACATGACTAATTCGTTTGCTTATTTCAGCTGCTGCACGCCCAGGCAACACAATCATCACGCACTATTATGTCGCTGCAGATGGTGCTGGCCGGCCTGTTTCCGCCAGAGAATACGCCCTTGGAGTGGAATATGCTCCTCAACTGGCAGCCCATACCCATCTACATGGAGCCCGAGGCCACCGACAAGGTAAGGCTGCCAGCAATAGCAGGCCCATTAAGGGGTATTAATATAGAACTATTTGCAGATCCTGCGCCAGAAGGTGCCCTGCCCTCGATACGATGAGGCCGTCTGGGAGGTAATGCACACGCCAGAGGTGCTCGCTTTACATGAGAAGAACGCTGAGTTGCTACGCGAGCTGACCGACTTGACGGGCCTTAATGTCACCTATGCTCATGACGTGACTAATGTGTTCATTTCACTGCAAACACAGCTGGCCTACGGCCTGAAGCTGCCAGAGTGGACAAAGGACTACTTCCCAGACAAAATGCGTCCGCTGGCAATCAAGGCGTATACATATGATGCCTATACGCCGGAGCTGTGCAAGATCAAAGGTGGCTATTACCTGGAGGACCTTTACAAGCACATACAGGCCAAGATTGACGGCGAACTGGAGCCAGCGGGCAGAAAGTTGTTCATCTCCTGTGCACACGATTGGACCATATCCAATGTGCTCAGCGCTCTGAATGTTTGGGGAGATAGGATGCCTCGCTTCTCGGCACTGATTGCCATCGAGCTGCACCGACGCACAGACAGCGGCGACTACTTCGTGGAGATCTATTTTCAAAATGATCCCAACAAGCCGCCAGAGCTGCTGCAGGTGCCCGGCTGCGACAAGCAGTGCCCCATTGAGCAGCTACTGAAGCTGTCACAGGATGTGCTGCCCGATGCACCCTACGAACAGCTGTGCATTGCCAAGGGCACCAGCGATGGCACACACATCACATATCACAAATGAGCGGCATTCTTAACTTAATCTAGCAGTATTAACTACAGTCTATATAAATGAATGGCTTACATAAGAGCTATATGTGTATATATATGTATTAAAATCTATTCGCATGCACATGATTTGCTGTTTGATTGATTTGCACGCCACACGAACAGCCTAGCTTAATGTAGAAGTGGGTGTGCGTGCCTTACTCCAGCTGTTGGAAGGTGGTTCTAAAGGTTTATGGCTCTGATGGTCTGAATATGTTTTTTTTTTAAGTATACGACTAAAAGGTGAGGGCTTAACTAATCAAGAGGTTTTAGTATTGACTTAGTATTCAAATATAAATTTTTATATAATATATATCAAAAGATAATTATCAGGCTGCCGTTTGGTAAAAGAATTTTTCTTAATAATAATTTGCAACTTATAATAGTTGTATATGGTGTGGATTGTTTATGCTAATATAGTAATAAATGTGGAATAAAAGCCTAATATAGCAAAATATCAAAATACAATTTTACTAATATAAACAAATCTCTAGTTCAAATAGCTAGCTGCCTTAAGACACCAAGTAGTAAAACAGAAGCATAATTTAAAATTTTAAGCATTATTTATTATATACGTGCTTATATAATTATTTATTTCTAGACCGCCAAAAGTCTTAGGCTCTACTCATTAAGTCTCTCAGCGATATTGAATCGAACTGAATTTAATTGAAGTTCCTCAAGTTGTTTTTATTTGCACATATTTCTCAATCTGCCCTGCCTTCAAGTGCCTTACACGTGCTGTAAAAAGTGTTTTACTTTATAACTTTCTTATAAAACCAGCTGTAGTTGATCTTCAAGCCAACAGTTGACAATCGAACATTTTGTGCATAAAGTGAATGATGTAAAGAGATATATTTGAAACATAAAAGGATGCAAACAACTTCCGTGCAGCAATAAAGATGAGATGTAAATTTATATTTGACGTAATTAACAAAGCAATAAACAGACACAAAAACAACATGCATACATTAAATAATTAACATATGTTCGATAAAAAACAAAGCAAAAGACGAAAAAAGCGCTGAGATTTATTAAAGCTGGAATTTGGTGACGAATGAATTCTTTTGGCTTCGTAAATATTAGGCAGCTGTCAAATATGTGTGTGTATCTGTGTGTGTGTGCGTATTGTAAATGTAAATCGCGATCGCGATTTAAAACGCCTGAAATGTTGAGGCATTGTTGTGGCGACTGCTCAATGTACGATCAGTTACGAGCCACGCAACACACACAATAGACACACTCGAGAAATAAAAGTAATAATAGTCGAAAAGCGACGACGGTGACGAAAGCATTTCGCGATAATGAAACGATAAAAGACATATGTTCGCTAGTCAACCGGGCTGGGTCTGAACATCGTTCTGCTGTGGCCTCTGGCATTGTGGGCGATTGTATATATGGGACAGTACGGCATAAGTGCTCCACTGAACAGCTGAGCCATCCGTTATCCGGTTACAGACGCTTATCGCTGTCGAACAGCCATCAAGCAACAAAGTCTTGCGTTTGCCAAAGACAAACTAATAGTTGCCCGTTTATATTGATGATAAGAGCAGGAATAAGACAAATAGAGCCCCCCAAATACACCTATTCATATGCTGATGAAAGGGACGGTCTCTTGAAACCGCTTCCATAACGACTTTGCAAATTAACAATAACACGTTTTATTTTTTGGTTTTTTGTTTTATGAACAGCATAATTAAAAACACCGACAGAAAAACAGAGAAGCAGCAAAACAAAAAATCACCGAAAAAAAAAAAACGAAGTGCCCGCAAAAACCAAAAAAGAATCGAGTTGTTTGTGCTTCTTCTGATTTGTGTGTCTGTGGCCGTAGAGATCGCGTCTACGTTTCGGGTCTCTGCTATTGGCGCCAAGCAAATATACATACACTCATATACTAACAATAAAAACGGAGAACGGAGAACGGAGAACCTCCCCCCACCCAAGTTGGAGCCTCGGCTAAAGCCATATAAAGCACCTCAACCAAAATGCCGCGTTCGCATTTCACTCGAAAGCATTGTCTAGCAATGACGGGCGGCTTAATTGCGTTTGCTGTGCTGATCTTGTGTTTTACACACTCCACGATCATCTCCGGCAAGATCACCGATCCCGGCACCGACGAGTCTACGCTTGAGCTGCTGCATGTGGTAAGTCCGAGAGCCAATCGCAAATCGACATCAAACAAAAAACAAAAAACAAAAATTATAAAACAGCTGTGCAGTAACAGCTGCGCTGATTGCACTGTCAAACAGGGCTTAAGCTGAAGAGCGCTTTACGTTTTTGTAGCTTAAATAGAGCTGATCAAACGATTCAGTTTGAGGCGAGCAGGTTTAACGGGCTTTAGATTTGTATTGGATATAAATGTGTTGAGCTTGATTAAGGCGAGGCATGTAGTAGGTGCGTACGTATTATTTATTTTGATTAGTTCTTATTATTGAATTAGTTAAATAGAAAATTCTTCTAGAACTCATAATTTGATAAAATTTCCAACTTACTTTTCAATCGAAATAACTTCTGAGCCCAAAGTTTGTGAGAATTTCAGTTAACTTCCAACTTTATTCAAATTATTTCCATAAACTATATCTTTCACTTCCAGCATTCAAAGCTCCTTCAGTTACCTTCTAAATTTACATTTTGGAGCTATTTTTAGCAACTTCCCCTCTTATTGAACTAATTCAGAATGCCCAGCTCAGGTGTTATTAGTAAGGTAATTATTATCGTCACGTTTGCCCAAGAAAAACCAGCTGATAATACAGAAATTCACTTTCAACGCATTGGCATTGAAAGTGAATGACATTTAGAGAAACAAAAACAAAACATTTTTGCTGATAAATAATCAGCATAATATGTTAACGCTGACACTTTGCAGTCCAGCTGCCTCGCTTGTGTAGGCCAGTGTCTCGATGTGTTTAATTACTGCATGGAATAATAAAAATTTAGTACGCTTCGAGCGTAGGTAATAGACGAATGTCGCGCGATAAGACCCAAGCTCGATGCGCATACAATAAATGTCACAGAAATAAGCAACATCAGAATGGAAAGTGAAGGCGTTCCGAAAGGTACCACGTTGATAATAGAAGTGTTTAGATGTGTTTAACTGCGATATCATAAGCTAAAACTGTGCACATTAAATCAAAGCAAATCAGTGTGACTCGTGTTGAATCAGCTGTTTTAATTGATCTATAATTGGATCATGCAAGTGTCTTATTAATAGAACAACATTGAGTAACGTGCGACGGGCTAACAGAATCGTTGCCAGTGATTGAAATTCTAAGTTCTATCATGAACTAACGAGCAGCCAACCGTGAAGTCATGTAAAAATTTACTATTAAGACATTGACTGTGAATATGTATATGTATATAAAATATATATGTAGGCATACATCCATATACGTTGTAAACGTTAATAGTTAATGTTAGAGATAGTCGCAGTTCGTGTTTCTTTATTTTTTTGTGAGAGAATAACTAAAAACTATAACAAAATTTTATATTTATATAGAAGTATATTAATATGTGCTATACTAATAAAATATATAGCTCGAAATCAAAAAAAAAATATATATAATCTATTTATATTAAAAAACATTTAGTTAGAATATAGCGTATATAAAAAATTAGTTTGTCGGAGAAAAACTACGAAACTATAAAATATTTTTATATTAATATAAACATTTTTGCACAAGGATCTAAACATATAAAATAATAAATTGTATATAACATAAATACATTTTATAGATATAAATATGTATTTTATATATACACATGTAATATGTATATATAATACATAATAATAAGCAAAAACTATAAAAATTTAAAAAATATTGGAATATAAAATTTATATAAAAGTATAAGCATTGACATATAATATATTAATTAAAATATTTAAAAAAAATCCCTAAGCTTATATATAAAAAACATACATTATAAAAAATCGAAAAAAAAGTTTATTCAAGTTAAATAAATTAAATATTCATCTAAAATTGCATTTACAAAAAAAAAAAAAAAACAACAAAAACAAAGCACACATCTCTACGTAATGTTTAATAAGATAATAACTTCTCTAATTACCTCGTAGAATTTTCATTTCATGCTTATGCACGTATCATGTGCTCAAAGCTATTTCAGTTTTGTTACACTTCACGCGTGTTTCTGGTATTTTTCATATATTCAATTGGTATTAATACATTTTAGTGCATTTTTCATCTCTCTCGTATTGCAAATGACAATAAATTGAGTTGAATTTCACTTATCACAACACGTACTCGGCGCTGTTTTGTACAAGCTCTCCAAACTGGTTCATAAATCTGCGCTGAGCATCATTTATGCCGCAAACAACAGCAAAAGCAAAAAGCCAAATCAATTTAAAACCAGCTACATGCCTAATTACAATTTTTTAGCTACTCGTTTCGGCCGACCAAATAGCAAACGAACTAAATGTAAAACCAGTTCACCAACCTTTTTGTTTATGGCCACGGCGCAAACTGCGACGCACTTTTGTTATATAAATAAGATTTGAAAACGTAGTCGAGCTCCAATATTGATGGTCTGAAAACCTAATTAACTGATATAGAGATTAGCAGACTCAGAGTCAGGGCCGAGGCGGCTGACCTTCAGGCTTATCAGCATACCGGCCACGCGTTATTCAAAGCGAATCACCAATACATCCGCATTTCTGTAATGCTAAGTGCATGAGCAGCTTGGAATTTAGCCTGCACGGGCTGGGCACTCACTTCAGACCCTCTCCTGCCGACATCATCTCTTATCAAAGTCGCGTGCGCTGTCATTTCTCCTGCCCATTGTTGTCGACGCACTCGACAAGGCTTCAATGACACTGGCTATAAATAGCGCGAATAAACAAGTGTAAACTGCTGTTTAGTGCTATTTTTAAACTAATTTGTTAATGATTTATGCACTTTAATAAATAGACAAATAGATTAGTGCATAGCTTAAATTTAAATCAGATTCTCATTTAATGCCATTTCAGCTCAGGCCTTAGCTAATTTAAGCAGCGTATGGAAATAAAAGTTAAAAACTTGTAACTAACACTGCATACATTTGTACGATTCTGTTTCTGCAGGTCTTTCGCCATGGACCACGCACACCGGCGGACACATATCCCCTGGATCCCCATGTAAACGAAACCTACTATCCATTTGGCTGGGGACAAGTAACAAATGTGAGTCGAGAATAAGTTGCAGCCAAACTTTTGCCCAAAAAATAGAGAAAAACTAAAAACAAAAAACTGAAATGTTGTGAAAAGAGAACCTCCATCTAGCCAGCTTTTCCGTTCAGCCCGAAAACCACGCAGCAAAGCATTTAAATAAATTGAAATGCAAATGTTTGTCGTGGCTGAGGAGAGCGAGTGAAAAGCGGGCGAGTGCGGGGTCGTCGTCTGTGTTGCATTAACATATACACATGCATATGTTTATGCAATTGCAAAAATGCAAGGCATTTATTATTTTATAACATTGCTACATGTATCTCTCTCTCTCTCTCTCTCTCTCTCTCGCGCGCTCTTCGTCTCTCTCTTGCTGTGTATATGTTTCTCTTTGTGGATTCGCCGGCTGTTGTCTCACGTGCCATCCGCCCATGCCATGTAATAAATCAACGCTCAGAATGGCAAACGCGAGCTGTTCAACATTGGAAGCTGGCTGCGTAAGCGTTATGGCAAATTCCTGGCACCCTACTACAGTCCCGATGTGAGTAACCCAACGCTAACGAACCACCAGACGCCCAACCCGCCCAGCTGGCATCGGGTGAAATGGGTGTCTGATAGTGCGGACGTTTACAAATTGCAAAGCTCAAGCGCGCGCTCGCCTCATCACTCAATTTCTTTTTAACGTTCTCGTTCTCTCGTCTCTCGTCTCTCGCCTTTCTGTAACATCTTTAGTTGGTGCACGCACAGGCGACGGGCGTGCCACGCACACACATGACCATGCAAACGGTGCTGGCCAGCTTCTTCCCACCCAAGGGCACGGCCATGGAGTGGAACAGCAAGTACAATTGGCAGCCCATTCCGGTGTTCTCGCAGGAGCTAAATGAGGATACGGTATGTCAACCAATCAATAATGATCCCATCATCAATTGATATTGATTTGTCATTCATTTCTCAGCGTCAAAAGTCTAAGGCTTAATTCGGCTGAGTTTCCTATTTACCCTTTTTTTTTTTTAAACGGCTCAAAAACTAATTTTATTGAGAAATGTGCTAAGCATTTGCTATGACAATATCAATTTGATTGCACTTGAGGCTTCAAATTTCTGTAGCTTTTCCTGTTCTGCTACTGAAATATTTACAGATTTGTTGACTGCCAGTTTGAGGCAAGTTAAGCAACACGGAAATTGATTTAATATATAAATATATAAATTCTTAAGGCTATTTAAGCTAACGAACGCAGAAAGAGTTTAGCTATCATTCATAAATTTCCAGAGGATATTTGATAGATTTTTAGCCAGGACTTTGGCCAGTTAGTTTTGGTCTTCTCCTACTTCTAGCAGATCTCTACCCAGACATTTAGTCAAATTAAAGTCAATTGTCATTTATTCCCTTGTTAAATCTTTAAATTAACAAACTCTCCTCTCTCTATCAATTGCCAGCTGCTGCTTGTGCGCACGCCTTGCCCGCGCTACTTCGAGGCGCTGCATGAGGTATACGAACTGCCCGAGGTCAAAAAGGAAATAGAGCCGTATCTGGATATGTTTAAGGAGCTGGCAGCACACACTGGCCTCAGTTTCAATGAGCCAGAAGATGTGCAATCGCTGTATCTCACATTGCTGGCGGAGCAGGAATGGGGTCTGGACTTGCCCGAGTGGACGAAGCAATATTTTCCCGAGAAAATGCAGTTTCTAACCGAGCAGAGCTATGTGTACAATGTGTATACGCCCGAGATGCAGAAGATCAAGGCGGGTCCATTCCTCAGCAAGATGTTCAACGAGATGCAGCAGAAGCGCAACGAAACGCTGAAGCCCGACAAGCGCAAGCTGTTTATTTATACGGGCCACGACTCGACTGTGGTGAATGTGCTGTCTGCGCTGAAGATCTGGGAGCGTCAGCTGCCACGCTACTCGGTCATGGCGCTGTTTGAGCTGCACAAGAACAAAGAGACCGGTGATTACTGGGTGGAGATTTATTTCCGCAATAATTCCAAGGCGCCGGCACAAAAGCTGACCGTGCCCGGCTGTGAGTTCCAGTGTCCATTGGATAAGCTGCTCGAGCTGGTCAAAGATGTGGTGCCCACCGAGGCGGATGCCAAGCGCTGCGATGCTCAAAACGAGCAATTCACAGAGCCGCCACTGCGTGGCCCATAGAGCGGCTAAGCTGGAAGTCGGCCAGTTTCCTTTGGAATCGAACGCGCGCTGCTATAACTCAGGGAGCTTAAAGTTAGTTAAGTCAACATTTTAGTTGTAAGTCAAACAGTTTATACTTATTATTAAAGATCGAGTCGGAATTGTCAGCTGTCGGGTGTTTGAGTTAGCGCCAGAACCAGCGCCTCATGTGGCAGCCAAGTTGGCTCATTTCCGCTTGTGGCGCCGCCATTGCCCAATAGGCCGCTTCCGTTTGCCTTTTGCCAGCTTCGCAAACAACTTCCGCACTTATTTTACCAGCTGAACCACAACCCGAACACCCTCCCTCCAGCTCTCTCGCTCTTGCTCTCTTTTTGTCGCTATCTCTATGTTGTGCTTTGTATCTTTGAATCTCGCCCGCCCTTTGGCTTTGCTCATTTTTGCCAAGAGGTGACATTTTTCGCATTGCGGTTTACCATAAACTATTTCATTGGGGAGTTGTTGTCTGTGTACATTAGCAGTGCTCCATGCTTGGCGCTTGCTGCTGGAGTTCCATGCATGGCATTGCCATTGCCCCTTCGCAACCCATTCAGTTCCACATTGTTTACCCTTGTGCGTTACCCCATCTGTCTTTCACTGTGTGCTCAACATTGGGCGCTCTCCCGCTCTCCCTCTCCCAGACAGAAATGTCTGCTATATGCACATATCTGTAAACTTTATTTGTCAACGGGACGCATATGTTGTGTGCTTGCCAAAAAAAAAGAAGAAAATAGAGGAAAAAATATTAAATAATGGAATCATATCCTGGCTTATATTCGCATTCGCGTTCGCATTCGCATTCGCATTGCTATCGTTGTCTGTTTGTTGTTGCATTTAATTTAGCTTAATTTGATTTTGGTGGGCAGAGAAAACGTTAGCAGCAAAGTTGCTTGACTTGAGTAAGAACTGATAAATCTTCAGGCATATGTGCACAGTTTGTGTTCTCTTATGATTAATGACAAGGCATTGCTGGAACGGAAGGATTGGGAAACCTATCATAGACAAAGGCGCACTAAAGTTCTTAATTTACTCTGCTGGAATCACTTTCAGTTGAGTTGGGAATGCAGTTAGTAGAAATCTTTCGCACCCAACTTTAATCAAACATGCCGCCATTGTAAGCTGGCCGAGTCCTGGCAATAAAATGCTAGAAAACCTTTTTTTGACAAATGAAACGTGCAACAAACAGGACGCTAAAGCAGCCGTAGAGAGCTACGTTCCAGGCCAAGCCTGAGCCAGTGCCAACAAAGATTTATGCATTTTGCAGTGTGTACGCTTTATGCGAAACTAAACGGCAAACAGTTTGAGTGAAGAAAGGCACTGGTTGCGCTTTGGCTTGGCTTGGCTTGGCTTGGCTAACCGAAGTCGGGCAAGGAATGGGCAAACATGTTTTGCATGTTGCATGCCTGGCAGTCAGCTTGGGTTGGCGCATAAGTCTATTGTGCCGCTTAATAGACTGAACTGTGCAGCAGGAGCTGGCTGGCAGCTGGCAAACATTTGTGCAGCTTATTAATATGCAGCCCATTTCAGTCGCACCAGCTATGGGAGATTAGACGAGAGCAGGTGTGGCAAGGTGCGAGCCAGCTACGGCCGACTATCGTCAATTTTATCTACTAGGCCAAGCGCAAAAGTTTTCCGTTCCGTATCGAAAAGTCGTTAGTAAGCTGACCACAAAAAGAGATGTGGGCAAAACGCAGTCGACAGTGCCGAGTTGCTCAGCCAAAGGTTTTATGTTTTAGTCGTCGTCGTCGGCGTGGTCGTTGCTGCAGTTGCAAGAACAAAAAAATTAAAGTTTTTCCAAAGACTTGCACTTAGCCTCAAAAGTTTTGTACACCAAAGTTTTGTGACTGAGCTTGTCCCTCGGTTCTCTAAGTAGATTTGTTACCCTGGCCATATGTCTGCAGCTAAAAAATGACTGTCTTGGGGGTGGCGAAAAACTTGCCACACCTCCATAAAGTAGCTGCATAATGGGCGTAATAACAATGCGAAATAAATATGTAAAGTCGAAAGTCTTTAATATTGCACAGCGTAAGGTATTCCCTAAGAAGCGAAAAGAAAATAAATTAATTGAAGAGGTAAAACTGTAATTTTGAAACTATATAGTTCGAACTATATTGTTCGATATACTTCAAATAATTCCATTCGACAAGTTTGTACAAAAAATATATACATTTTAAGCTAATAGACGATAAAAAACTTCTTCATACATATATTTATAAATATAGCTATGACATGAGGAAAGTGTGTAAATTCATAAAAAAAAACCTGCTTTTCACGGCAACCGTGATTATAGCTGCAATTTGCTTTTTCGTTGTATCCTGCTTTTCGGGCTATAGGCAGAAGAAACAAAGGGAGGAGAACGTCGTGATACACACCTTTATGGTAATAGTGTTGATGCTCGTGCTGTGCGACACAGTAAAATTTCTGTTATTGGCCATTGACAAGGCCTGGTGGCCACGTAACCGGGACAGCTATAGTGTTGATAGAACCGCAATTGTTCACACGCGAACCGATTATCTGAAGTTGAAAATAAGTATACTGCGCTCTCAGCTGGTGGCTACGGATAAGCATTGTGACGAGTCGCTGAACGTCGTCTATCAGGCGATTGCCAAAGACCTTTGGCTTTACGGCAAGTATTTCTTGCTGCTAATGTCCTTGGTGCTGGCAACGTATGATGGGCTACTCTATTACAATACCAGGCATATGCAAACGCTGTTTGTAAAAAATCAAACGCGCACCTGGGGACTGTCTAAAGTGCATACGTTTGATAACTTCTATACGTTTTTGGAGTCGGCATTAGTGTCGGCCTTTGAGCCGGAAGTGAGCAAGACTGGATGCAAAAGGTGGTTGTATGGTGATCATACAATCAGAGTGGGCGTGGTTCGACTGAGGCAGCTGCGTAGAAAACCGAATCATCACCTGGGCTGGGGGAGCCCAGAGTATGATGAAATTGAATATATGCCCAGATGGCAGTTGCCCTACGAGCGTAGGCCCTACACAGATAAATATTGGAAAATCTATGCACCCTGGCTACCCATGTATCCCATTCGTAGCACAAAGGAGAAAATCTTTATGAACTTTAATCATTATGGCTATGCCAACGAATTTCCAGAGCTCATCGGCTACGCAACGATGCTCGCAAGCACCTACAACAGCAGCATGAAGGTAATCGATTATTTGAGTAGCATGGATTGGCTTACACGGAAAGAAACATTGGCGATATTTATAGACTTTACGCTCTTCAATTTGGATTCAAACGTCTTCACCGTAGTCTCGCTGACCATTGAAGTGACGTCCTTTGGGACCCTTGAGATTGCTGCCGACTTTAACAGCGTCAAACTGCTTATTATTGACCACATTCAATCGATATTCATTGTAACTATACTCTTCCTTTATATCTTGGTTTTCATCGACTTTTCCAGGTCGGTTGTAATAATGCTTTGGTTTGAGCCCTCCAAGATTCGCAACATGTGGGTCCGGCTGGACCTATTTATCATCGCTCTGAATATTTTGCTGATCTGCTTGCTGATCACCCATGAAGTCCTGGTCTCCAGTCTGCTCGCGCAAATGGAGAATATCCATATACACATGTACCTCGACTTTAGGATTCTGGCGCGTCTGCATATGGCGTGCGTCGTTTTGTTGGGATTCCTTATCTGTTTCACAACGTTGCGGCTGTGGCGCGTCCTTCAGTTCGCCAGGGTATTTCAAATGATAACAGCCACGCTGTATGCGGCTTGGCAGGCATTGGCTAACATAGCGATGTTGATTTTTATATTTTTGGTTGGCTATGGCATGGCCAATGTCATTATAAACGGCAACTATTCCTTGTCATTTTCAACATTATCGAAGAGCATTGTCTCTTCGATGTGCTTCGCAGTTGGCTGTAGCCATCATATTGATCCCGCCGATCTTCTACATGGTGGCCGCATTCTTGGCATGATTCTATATAGTATTTTGGCCTTTTTTATTGTCATCTTGATGATGAACCTCTTTGCCTCGACAATCAATGATTTTTTTTGCAATGTCAGGAAGAAGCAAGATGAGAGACCCATACAAAATCAAATTACTTTCCTGCAGTTTCTAAAGGCTGAATATGCACCAACTCTGCGACTATTTGGTAAGCTGCCTTGCTTTAAGAGGGGCTACAAGCGGCGCAATCGCACAGTTCACGAGAATATTGAATTAATTTTGAACATTAAGCTAAAGGGATATATTCCAAAGACGACATACGATGCCTTACACCTTAAAGGTGACGGCAGTGAGGAAAACAGAGAAGATACGTTGAAGCACGAAAAGTACAAAGAATGCGTTGAACGGATGCACACGATAGCGGCTCTCATGAAAACTCAATTTGATTTGCTGGAACATATGCTCTTTAGGCCAGATGTGACAACTTCAGAGTCTACTGCTTCAAGCGAATCGTATACAGAATCGGGATCTGAAGAAAGCTTTACCTATACATAAAATAATAGAGATTTGTGGAAAATTGAGAATTTGTATTGAGATTTCGATGATATATTGAAGGCTTATATATATATATATATATAAATAAATGTATGTATGTACATAATGCTGCATGTTTGATCTTCTTATGCTAGAGACCCCAGAGCTTAAATTTGAATTAAAAAATGAATCTGCCTTTGCTTAGCATTTTCGATCCGAGTGGGCTACATATATTTTATGAAAGTCCCACTTACATTATTAGATATTCTCTGAGCTTAGAGCAACGTTTGGTATATCAAAAAGAATATAAATTATTTTAAGCAGCCGAACGAAAAGCCGGCATGAAGCCGTTAACCAAACGCACCATATTCATGTGGTTTACCGGAATCATCATCGCGATCACCATAATTTTAATGATTGTATTTTCGGGCTTTTATCATGAGACGACAAATGCGAAAAACGTATTTCTTTCTATAATCATCGTGCTGGTTTTCCAGTATATGGTGGCCGACCCAGTGAGGTTCATAATATTGGCTATTGATGCAAGCTTCTGGCCACAGAACATGACCAAGCCCACGAAGGAGGATGACCATGCTGAAAATTATAATCGTTTGGATTACCTGAAGCTGCGACTGAAGGCAACCAAACGTCAGATGCTGATCACCGAGCGTTACCGCAATGAGCAGCTAAATCTGGAGTATAAAAATATAATACAGGATCTATCTCTCTATGGTATATACTTTCTAATACTGACGGGAGTTGTGCTGGTCTCGCGTAACGAGCTGGGTTACTACAACTCAGCCTGTTTGAGGGAGCTGTTCATGTTTAATCACTCGATTTACATTGGTCTGAGTGAGGTCTATCACTTGAATCAATTGTTCAGTTTCATAGAGTCAACGCTGATCGATGCATTCGAGGGGGGTGACTCCTCGATAGGAGTCAGCATTTGGATCCACAGCGAACAGAATAAAATGTTGGGCGTGGTGCGGTTGCGCCAGCTCCGCTTGAGCAAGGAACAGTACGGTTTCAGCAAGCCCATATATACCGAAGAGTACTACAAGCCCGCGTGGCAGTTGCCCTACCAGCGATACCATTATGATGACAAATATTGGCGCGTCTACGACCCCTGGATACCCCTGGAGGAGAAAGATCTCACGGCGTATGTCGTACTCAATTTCAACCACCATGGCGAATTGCACAACTATCCAGAGCTAAAAGGCTACGTTGCTTTGCTCGGCCGCTCCAGGCAGAACAGCCGGAAGATACTTCAGTTCCTGACAGATTACAATTGGCTAACATACAATACATCCGCCGTCTTTATGGACTTTACGCTCTACAACATAGACGCCGATATGTTCAGCGTGTGCACATTGCGTGTGGAGCAAACGCCCTTTGGCGGCATTATACCCAATATGAACTGTGAGAGTGTACGGCTGATTGGTGATAATTTGCAGACGCCCTACACGCAGTTGCTGATTCTGCTCATCTATTTGATAACGTTCCTTCAGTTCATTCACACGTTCTGCGTACAAATTTGGTATGACATAAGCAAATTACATAGCATTTGGTATAAGTTGGATCTGTTAATCATCGTGCTGAATCTCGTTCTGACTGCCATGATTCTGCTGCGTGGATCAACTGTATTCCGAATGCTGAAGAGATTGGAGGGCGCCAATAAGCTTGAGTTTCTCGACTTTCGCATTCCGGCACGCCTCTATGTGCTCTGCAATGTATTGTGTGGATTTCTGATCTGCGCCACCACGTTGCGTCTGTGGAAGGTGATGCAGTTCGCCAGGGTATTTCAGATATTCACACGAACTTTGTCTTTGGCATGGACGCCACTGATCACCACTTTCCTGGCCATTCTGATATTTCTAGGGGCATACGGCGTAGCCATAAACACCATCAACGGCAACCACAGCTCTCACTTTGTTTATATGTTGACAAGTGTCATATCGGTCATGTGTTTCTCATTTGGCTTTAGCAATGAAATCCAACCGTTTGATCTGTTCCATGGGGGTGTAGCCGTGGGCGTAACTTTGTATGCGACAATGGGATTTGTGGTTTCTGTACTGCTCATGAATGTGTTCTCCACACTGATCAATAGCTATTTCATTGAAGCCAAGAAGCATGGTGATGCCAAATTCAAGCAACAAATAACATTTCTCCAGTTTTTGCGCGTCGAGTTCGACGATCTGATCTCATTCATCTGCCAAAAAAAGATGTATAACGGGGATGGGCGCACCGTCTCGGAAAACGTGAAAATTATACTGGATAAGCGCGATAAGAAGTATGCCCGACTCAAGATGAAACGTGAAAAGGAAGAACACTTTCTGCAGGTCGAATACAGAGAACGAATCGAACGTACTTATTCTATCTCACTCATTTTGAATATACAAATGGAGATGCTGGACATAATATTGTTTGATGACGACATTACAATGCATAAGTTACGCAGATCAGGGGAAAAGCAGGAGCCTGATCCACAAGATAGCATTGTATAAGCCGTCGACGGCTGGGCACCAACGAGGATATATTTTATAATTGCAGTTTATAGTTTTGTGTGTTGATGTTTTTCATTTTCCATTTAATTTTAGTTTGTTTCCGTTTTGTTCTTTTGCGACTTCACAAATAAATAATTATGCGCAAACAGAGAGAAGTTTCGACTTGAAAAGGCTTTTAGGGCAATTTGGTGATGGCTTTGTTGGACTTGTTTGCGAAAACTTGCGGAACCTGAGCCTGGCTGTGGTCCAAAACGGAATGACTTATAAGTAGCGCAGCATTTCGAGAGCATTTCGAGAGCTCTAACAATTGTTATAGGTTAGCAAATAAAAATTTAATACCTCATGCTTTTAGGCTGCCGTTACTGCTGCCGAAAACTATTTGTGCTGCTCAGTTTTGTGTAATCGGAGGAGGCTGCAGTTATTGTTAGGGCTCGCACTAAAAAAGTTTTACAAACATTTTTGACCAACAGCAAATGTAGCTAAACTAAACAATTGCGAGCGGCGCTAAACTTTTGCCCACCCGCCTTCGCCTGCGGCCTCCTGCCTGCCCCTCGCTGCAGACAGTCTGTCTGCAAGTTTTTTGGTGCATAATGTGTGTGCCTGCAGAGGTACATACATATGCGCATGTCACTTGGGAGGATTGTGTAAACTTTTATAATTATTAGCAACAAATGAGCAGTGACAGAGCACTTTTGCAGTCACTGTAACTTTGGCCAGACGGCAGAGACAACATTTCGTGCCATTCCCAGTTGCAAACACAAAAATCACAAATGATTCCTGCCCGCTCAGGCTCAATATAAAAGTTTTAACTACCTGACTATTCGTACATCTCTCTGTGCGTGTGTGTGTGCCAGACACTAAGAAATAGTGTCCCAATCAAAAGTCCTATAAAGTTTTAAATGCTTTAAGTGGGGGCGGAGCGCAAAAATAAAAAAACTTTCTAATGCCAGTCCGAGTCGAGGAAGTTTTTATGGAATGTTTTTTTGAACAGTGCATTAAATGCATGTTAACATATTTTGATGCCAACTTTAAATTGTTTAAATATGTAAACATGCATATTTAGAAATAAGACTGCTAGAGTAGACGACAAACTGCAATAGAAGCAATCTGATGTAAATGTTGCTAGACAAAAGGAAACTCAAGTTGATGGAAAATTGATGCTGCAGAAATTATTTGCAGTGCTTAAAAGGCACTGAAGTCTATATAGCTATAAATGAATATATATATAAATATATATGTACTTATTATATTATTAATATAAAATCTTAAGTTTTATAGTTTCAACTTTATAATTCGACGCTTAGCTCAATTGAGTGTCAACAAGTGAACTGATTTTATAGCAATTGATTGATTGATTAGTCAACACTAGTTTTTTTTGGTGCATTGGCCTTTTGCAGTACTTTTGAACACTTTCACATGCCAAAATTAATTGAAGTGCCTTAGCTGTTCGCATTTTATTGCCATGACTCGGAAATCGAAGAAAAAGCATAAAAAGCTTTCCAAACAACCCATGCCAGACGGCATCGATGTTTGTAATGAACAGCAGCAGTATTTGCTGAGTAACGAAAATGTCGAGCATAAGAAATCTAAGCACAGGCAGCACCACAAGAAGCACAGCAAGCGGCACAAGGGCAAGCACAAGCACAAGCAGTCCGTGCCGGAAAAGCCGGTAGATGCAGTGCCAAATCCGGAGCCAATATCGCAGCCAGAGGCGGAGCTTAAAGTGGAGACAGAATCGGAGCAGGAAGCAGCGGCCATCGAGGTGCTAGCCGACGAGCCAGAAGCAGAGTAAGTTTTCAGATAGCAAATTTTATGGAACATGAATTTAAGAATAAATTTGATTCGAATAGAAACTCAAATTGGTGGAACTTTGATCAATGTCTGCCCGTTGGCTACAATTTCGGTAATGCAACGCTCAATTTTAATCTGCCAGGTGTTGAGCCGATCGATGTCGGCCAACCAGTTCGCGACTATTCGACCTATATAATTCCCAAGCTGAAGAGCAAACAACAGCTGGTGTATTCGAATAATTCCGAAACGTTCGTTGACGAAGTGTCACCCATTAATACTGTGGATTGGATGCACGACCAGAACTTCAAGCTGTTGTCGCCCATAAAGAAGAGCGATATCGACTATTTGCCCACATCGGAGGACATTTGGGTCAGCTACAAAGCGGCGAAGATGGGCGCCACGCCCGAGTGGCCAGTTTGCTGTATCCACAATATGTCAAGTCCAAGTGAAATACGCGAAAGTATTTCGAGTCCAGTGAAACAAGAAACTGCTCAGCCCAGCCATGAGACTAACATCGATCAGATCATTGCGTGCCTCGACCAAGACAACTCTCAAAGCAACGCCGAAGTGAAGGAGGAGCTAGAAAAGGACGAGAACGGCGCCAGTCTCTCGTGCATGGAATGGGAGAGCCTTGATCTTAGCCTGGACGAGGAGCGCAGCTTGTTGGACTTCCTCAAGTCAAAGCGTTTGCATACTCCACTTAGCGACATTAAAACCTTTGAAATGCTCCTGAGCATGGCCAGAAATGAGGAGAGCAGAGATGCACTGCGTGATTTGTTAAGGCCCAAAATATTACTGCAGCTGAGGCCAGGCAAGGCGCTAAAGGCAGCCACTAGAGAAGCACAAGATGCGTCCACGGAACTTGACCGGAAGGTACTGCAGCGAGGAACAGAACCTGTCGACATTTCTAATATGGTGCCACATGTGATGATCAACAATGAGGACCTGCAGAAGGCCATCGATTCGATAACTATTGTGGACCAAACGCAGGAGCAGCTGCAGCAGATAAATTTGAATAGGAACGACTTGATTATATTGGAGGACCGAACGTTGTTGGATGTGGAGAAACCGCCCATCAGCCAGAGAGATGATCAGTCCTTGATCGTCAACGTGGAAAAGCTGCCGCCGCTGGTGGCAGCGCCCAAGGAGGATGCCGTGCAACAGTGGCTGCAGCAGCTGGGCCAAGATCTCTCGCGAGTGGTGCAAAGCCGGCTCGACTCGATGCCCAACAGCGAGCACTCCAACGCAGACCCAGTCGATTTCGAAGCAAAGATCAGCGAGTGCGGGCTGCTGCAGCCCAAGGGCAAGGCACAGGCGCCTATGTCAGACTTAGAGAAAAGTCTTGGCCAGTGGGAGAACAGCTACAAGCGTAGATTGGATGACTTTGAGGACATTATTGACCACAATATGACCGAGTTTCGTGATCCGCAGGGCAAGCGACTGCGCACCAAATGGCTAAATGAGCCCGGCAAAAAGAATCTGGATAGCCTAAAGCGTGTCCTGCAAATGCCTGCGCTGCCCACACATCTCGACCAGCGGCTGCAGCAGTTGCGTATCTTGAGGCAGCCGACCAAGCGCAAAGTCGAGCGCACCAATATGCCAATCGAAATGAAGATGGTCCGCATGTATAGCACGTTGCAGGCGAACTGCACCATAGACATGAATCAGCTAGCCCTGGAGCTGGATAATACGATCTACAATACCGATATTCAGGTGCTGCAGAGGAGCTATGAGGCCGGCCACGTGGCTTGGATTTGGGAGAACGGCAGCATACTGATCAGCAATGCTCGGAGCAAAGCCCTACTCATGGACACCCAGAAGAGTCTGCTGACCAAGATTCTAGGCGACGCGGAGACCATCAATCTGGCTCAGCACAATGCCCTGCACTCGCAAGTGATACACATCGCCCAGTTTGCGTGGCAGATCTGCATTGAGGAGTTCAGTCAAACGTATGCCTTGAGCAGTGAAACGGTGCAGGACAGCTTGAGATATGCCTACTATGTGAACAAGAGCATACCCGGTGTTGCGGCTAAGGTCTACGAGTCTGGTGCGATTCAAGTGTTCGCCATGACTGCAGCGCTGGCCGATGGAATGCTGGAGAAACTTTACCTAATCACGGCCAATCATCGCAAGCCAAAGACAACAATTATACCAAAGCCAAAGCCCGAATGCCATGGAACATTCATACCACTCTTTCCCACTTGATTAGTTATCTTTGAGATTCGTCTAATATGCACTTTATTGTCCTCAACGACTACCCAATAAACAATTATTCAAAGACAATCCCTGTACTCTTTAAGTCCGAGTCGAAGAGATTCGCTGTGCTTGCAAAGAGCGCGCTGAATGGAAAGTAAAGCCAAAAGCTCGCTCTCTCTCTGTCTCTCTCTTGCCTTGTGCCGAGCACGTTAGCTTTTCGCAGCTGGCTGCTGGCTGCTAGCAGGCAGCCCGCAGCGCTTTTTGGGTTAAAGTTGGGTCATAAAATATGCCGTACTACGGACAACAGGATTTGCGGAGCGCAGGAATTTAATTCATAAGTTAAGTGGCGTGTCCTCGGCCGTATATAGCCAAGGTTAAGTGTGGCTCGCTGCAGCGAAACACGTCAGCACCGACAGACCGAGCGAGTAAGCGAGCGAGTCCTGTCCTGTCCTGACTCCCGATTCCTGTCGCCCACTCGCTCAACACCCAAAGCGTGTGGGTGTTATTGCTTTTGCCCCAGAGTGGCTGCCACTTCTGCCATATTTTTCTTTTAAGGTTTTGCTGCTTGAACACGAAACCGCATACCCCAGAAGCAGAAGACCGCTCCAGCACAACCTCAACAATTGCCTGGAAACATAATACATGGCTCATTCATTGTCTGGATTTTGGCTGAACTTTGCTTGCTTTGGCCATTGTCTTCAGAGCTAAAATCGTTTTGATTGAATCCGTTTGACAGTGTGTGAGAGCGCGACAAACAAATTAAGCAAACGACACCGTGAACCGAGGCCCTGACCAACGGTGGCAATAACAACAATAACATAATCAGGCCTTGTCACGCCCACAGCTAATGCAAATGCCGCCCCAATCCCTGGCGATGATTTGCATAAAGAAATAACCCAAAAGTCGGCTGGGAAAATTGTTAAGGCCTCGCTGACCTTTTGTATGCCAATTCAAATAGGCACATGCCCCACCTTCCAGCTGCCCCTCTTTCGCTGTTTATCAACCTTTTTTATTTGCTTGACACGTTTCAAGCCAGGCAACCCACTCGACACCTACAAATAAACAAAAAGCAATGCAGCAAATATTGTAGTAATCAAAAATGCAAATGTCACTACGTGAATTGTAAAATATCTTCGTTTTCTTTTTTTTTACTTTTTTTTTTTTATTTTTGTACAGATGCTAGTGACTGGGACTACGGCAGCATAACCCGGGGATAGCCATAAATCTGCTCACAATTGAAGAGCACATTAATTCCACTCGCAGTTGTTTATCACAAAAAGTTAATTGCTTTCCCGTGCTCTCTATTAATTATATTCCATAATTTGTTTAGCCTAATTAGCGACAGGCAGATGAACGGGACGTCGCCTCAGCAAGGACGTTAGCTCGGCCAAAGGTTGGAGTGGGCACGATTTTGACTGGGTAATTAGGAATGTCTCTGACTATAAACTGAATTTTGCAATTAGGTCATTGAAAGTACATTTATATATATATATATATTATGTATTATATATATATTTTTGTGAGCTGTGTATTAATGAAGTTGATTTTAGAAATATTTAGAAATATTTTAATTAAGTCTTAGTGCGATGAAACTTAGTTAAATTGAGCCTAGACTTGTGCTGCAACAAATAAAGAGCAATTGTGTTAATTAACAGAGGAATCAGCTATATTTATATATTTATTTTAATTAATTAATTAATTCATTATTTTAAATGAATTATTTTAATTATTATTTTTTAATAATTAATTAATTTTAATTTGTTTATTAATTAATTATTATTATTTATTGTAATAGAAAAATTAGATTTATTGATTTAAATAACTATGTTTAAGTAGGAACATGATACTGATTGCCATCTCCTGATTGGATTGTGGGAGAGCCTTAAAAATGTCAACACGATTGAGTATAGGAACATACGAATAAATAAATAAAATTTCTGTCCATGTATCATGGCAATGGACACAAGTTATAATAGAGAGTTTTAAAATTTAATTAAGCCACACTCACTTCAGCATAAGTTTTGTTACTTAAACATTTGAGTGAAAAATAAACGTTGCAGCTCAATCAATCTCTCTATATTTGAAGGCTTATTTGATTTCATTTATAATTTTTTTATATTTTTTGATTCATTTAGAAATATTTTTAAAGGCAACCATGTCAGTCTTGGCAATTGATGCTTTAAAAAACAACTCAAGACTTTTTCTATAATTTTTTTATTATATAACAAATGGAGCCTTAGATTATTATTTTACTAATCAAATACATTTCATTTACATAATTATTAATTGAAAATAAGCTCATATCCTTAGCCTACTTGGGTTATGCTGACTTGATATGAAAATTAATCTAAGGTTATTAAATTCATTTCATTCATATTGCCTTATATCCAAAGGTAATCAGCTTACAAAAGCTCTTCTCACAAACAAGTTTTCAGCTCACAGTGCTCAGCTTACTATATATCGTATTAATATTTGCATATTTGTAAAGCTAATCAAATTATCAGCTTAAAGTTTAGCGCGACATTATTATAAATGTGTTACTGCCGCTATTTATCAAATTTCTTCACTTAACATTTAAAAATGTTTACTTGTCTACATAAATACACGAATTCTACTTTTTGACTAGTCCGTGTTGTCAGCCATTTGGAGTTTGCTTTGGGTTGGGCGTGTGATTTTTTAATGCAAAATCCGTGTAGTGTTGCGAGCTGCCAAGTTTGTTGGGGGTTTTTTTTTCCGCAGGTTAACAAAAGGCCATGTACCGTTGCTTGTTTTTGCCATTAACAGCAATTACAAATGGCAAACAAAAACGCAAAATGGGCGGCCAGCGCGTTGCCTGGGCAAGGACGAACTTTTAATTATTTAGAGGAGAACGCGAAAGTCGCACAGTTTTTCACACAATTCTGGTTGCAGTTGGCCGCTGCTCCAGCTCCCCCCGAAAGGTAAATTCAATTACGCAGCTGCTGTCATTGTAGTTCGGTTTTTGTAATTACAAACAACTTCACCAAGTTGCAACTAATCAAATTACTGCCGACTGGCGAGAGGTGTGTGGGGCGCCGGGCGCCTCGCAACCAAATACCCAGTTGTGGCAAAGCCTAAACAAAGTCGGGGCCAAGCAATAAGCGATAACATATGGAAAGGATTTGGCACTGCTTTGCTCGCATGCTAAGGATTTTATCGTCTATCAGCAAGCGCGAGCCCAAAAATGGCTTTTTAAATTGTGCATCAATGCATGAAATGCGCCATGAAAGCATTTCAGATAAATTCGCGAAACTAACAAATAACCATGTGGAAAAGCAAGGATAACGCAAATAGCTTAAACCATGTGTGTGAGTGAGAGAGACTGAGAGAGAGAGAGAGAGAGAGAGGGAGATGAGAACAGAGAGTGAGCGTGTGTATGCCAAGTAAACAGTTTTGAAACATTTTGGCAGTTTAAAGGATATGCAGCCGATGATGAGTTTTTATTTAGCTTGAAATTGCTCCAGCCTCAGCTTACAGGAAGCACCACGATAACCCACAGAAGCGGATAAGCCAACTGCAGTATAAATTCAGCAGTAGAAATTCTATGGAAGAAAAACTTCTTGCTAAATCTAAGCCTAAAGGAGCAACCATTCTTGGTGTAACTAACCACCTCAACAACGCCCATCAACAGCTGCATCGTATGATGCAATGGAAATTTGATTGACAAATGTAAATTTTAATTAGACTTGTGAATTGTGACAATTGCTGCAGCATAAAAGTCTACAAGGTTTGCCTTATGTCTGCGATTTTCGAATTTTTAAGCCCCACGACGTGTTATACATTAATCAATGGAAAATAAAATAAAGAGCCACGCGAACTGATAATAGCTGCAAATGGTTCAATTTTAACCGTGTTTACCAACTGCCTGCGCATTTCAATGAACCCCATGAATCACAACTGAATGAAGACTGTTTGGGGTATAAATACGGACTGCAAACACTAGTTGGACATCACATTCCACTGCTACTCCCAACAGTACAACAAACCCACAAATCCTCAACATGTTCAAATACGTAAGTATTTCAGTAGAAACATACCTGGAGTCCACTATAAAACTCCTTCTGCTTACAGGCCGTTGTTATCTTCGCCATCGTCGCTGCCGTCTCTGCCAAGCCTGGTATACTCCGGGGCAGTCCCCTGGCTTACAATGCTCCATTGGTAGCTGCTGCTCCCGCTGCAGTGGTTGCAGCTCCTGCTCCTTATGTGACTGCCACCAGCAGCCAGGTCATCGCCCGCAACTACAATGGCATCGCCGCTGCTCCAGTGATCGCTCCAGTTGCTGCTCCAGTCATCGCCAAGTATGCTGCTGCTCCATTGGCTGCTCCAGTCATCGCCAAGTACGCAGCTGCTCCATTGGCAGCTCCTCTGGCCGCTCCATTGGCAGCTCCTTTGGCCTACAGCTCACCACTGACATACGCAGCTGCTGCTTCCCCTATTCTGTTTTAAGAATATCTTGATTAAAATAAATATATGAAGAGAAAATTGAAATATTTGTTGTTTGATATTGGAATCGCAAAGCTTGTTAACAACTCCAAGCTTCAATGGTATACCTTACACAGGTGAGATTCATTGGTCACCAGTTGTTTGAGATAAATGTGTGTAATTATTAAACTGGGCATTTTATCAATCACTGTAATTAAATGACCTGGTTTGAAAATATTAAATAATATAATATAAATAATAATCAATTTATTGTGGAAATTCTAAACTGCAGTTGCGAGCGCAGCATTGAAATATGAATTTGAATCGACAATGTTTGCTCACAGAAAACAATTCACACATTAAAACTGTATTTAATATTTCTGATATTTAGAGCTCAGCAAGCGATATATTGACAAGAGTTTCTTTAATTAAATTAATTTACTCTGATTAACGTAAGTCAGTAATAAGTGTAAGGAAACAATGCCAATGGAGTTCATGCCCTCCACTGTAAAGTTAAATATATAAAGATCTATATAATTAGGCAAATCCAAAGATTTATCCGACCCACAAACACTTCAGCTGATGCAGCCTAATTAATTGCAATAGGCCTTTAGCAACAAATTGTTGGCCAGATGCTGCTATAAGAATTTAATTGGCAAGATAGAAAAGCAATTTGATTATATTGTTGATTCGTAAAGCAGTTTATTATAGTTTCGATGATCACAGTTGTATTGCTTAAAGTAAAAGAGGCGCTGGGGCAGCAGCATAGCCAAGGGGCGCACTGTAGGCCAAAGGAGCAGCCAATGGAGCTGCCACATACTTGGAGATCACTGGAGCAGCAATTGGTGCAGCCAAAGGCGCACTCACATAGTTGGCAACCACAGGAGCAGTGGCTATTCCATTGTAATTACGGGCGAACACCTGGCTACTGGAAGCGGTCACATACGGGGCGGGAGCAGCAATCAATGGAGCACTATAAGCGAGAGGCGCACCAAGAAAGCCTGGCTTAGCAGCAGCGCACGCGATGATGGCAAGGATGACAACGGTCTGCAAAAATTAAACAAAATAAGTTAAATAATTCAGTTAAATAATAAAGAATTATATAACGTACGAATTTGAACATATTGGCTTGGCTTGACTGAGTTTCTAGTCTGATGAAAGCTTTAAAAGTCTCTGATGCCATTCAACAGTGCGAACTGTGGTATATATACCAAAAGAGGACTACGAATGTGACCTTACAGTTGCATTTTTTGAATTCGTTGGCCCTACGACGTGTTATACATTAATCAATGGGAAGCAACAGAAATGATAATGGCTACAAAACGTTAAACTTTAACTGTGTTTACCAACTGCCTCTGCATTTCAATGAACTACATGAATCACAACTGAAGACTGCTTTGGGTATAAATATGGATTGCCTGCTGTAGTTTGTTATCAATCAGTCCACAGCTACTCCTAACAGCAGCACAACCCACAAATCCTCAACATGTTCAAATACGTAAGTATTTCAGAAGGACATACCTGGAGTCCATTACTAAACTCCTTCTGCTTACAGGCCGTTGTTATCTTCGCCATCGTCGCTGCCGTCTCTGCCAAGCCTGGTATACTCCTGGGCAGTCCCCTGGCTTACAATGCTCCATTGGTAGCTGCTGCTCCCGCTGCAGTGGTTGCAGCTCCTGCTCCTTATGTGACTGCCACCAGCAGCCAGGTCTTCGCCCGCAACTACAATGGCATCGCCGCTGCTCCAGTGATCGCTCCAGTGGCTGCTCCAGTCATCGCCAAGTATGCTGCTGCTCCATTGGCTGCTCCAGTCATCGCCAAGTACGCAGCTGCTCCATTGGCTGCTCCAGTCATCGCCAAGTACGCAGCTGCTCCATTGGCTGCTCCTTTGGCCTACAGCAGTCCTTTGGCATACAGCTCGCCTTTGACTTATGCTGCTCCTGCTCCAGTTCTTTTGTAAGATCCCCTCAAATGACTGCAAATAAAACTTTAAACGCTGAAAAATTCATTTTTATTGATTGAATGGTAAAGAGTGTGAGCCACCTTTAGCTCATTTGGTATTGGACTCACGTACCCACAACGTTGACCAAATAATTGATGTCGAATATTTCGTGTGGCATTGGTATTTTGCATGTGTGTCAAGGTCTCTAAGGGCTGGCTTGGCAAGGCCTCCGCAGTTCAATGAACTTTAAATCAATAGGTTAATTGAAAATTGTAATTATGACTTAATTTGCAGAAATGAATTTATACTTTGAACGAAAATTAAAGCTTAACTGTGTCTGACTGATAACTGTGAAGCTTTTAACCTCACCACCAATGCAATGCTTTAAGATAATTCAACTTGACCTACAAAAATATAAGAACGTCTAAATCGCTTTTATTTCTCCGAAAATATTTTAAATATAATTAATTTTTAATTTTTTTTCCAAATAAAAAACGTGATTGTCTATCATTTATTTTTAAAAGAAAATTTCAATATTTTGCAATACACTTAAATCCTGCGATGCAATCATCTCTCATGTGACATCTCATGCAGACATCTCTTACGTAAAAATTTAGCTTATTGTGAGAAAGGTACGTGTTGCCGGAATATAGCTATATTTGATAATATATAGCTAATCTGACTTTAAAGCATAGAAGAATATATAAATAAACATAAATATGACATATTTACGTAATCTAATAACTGCATCTGTGATGAACTTGATTTGTCGCTCTGAGGTCCTTTCGGCATTCAATAAAAAGTCAGGATTAAAATTTTCATTCATTCATGACGTTTTATTTTATTTACATTCTCCACGAAATTTCTTTTATTTACAAAAGAACTGGAGCAGGAGCAGCATAAGTCAAAGGCGAGCTGTATGCCAAAGGAGCAGCCAATGGAGCAGCAGCATACTTGGCGATGACTGGAGCAGCCACTGGAGCAATCACTGGAGCAGCGGCGATACCATTGTAGTTGCGGGCGATGACCTGGCTGCTGGTGGCAGTCACATAAGGAGCAGGAGCTGCAACCACTGCAGCGGGAGCAGCAGCTACCAATGGAGCATTGTAAGCCAGGGGACTGCCCAGGAGTATACCAGGCTTGGCAGAGACGGCAGCGACGATGGCGAAGATAACAACGGCCTGTAAGCAGAAGGAGTTTAGTAATGGACTCCAGGTATGTCCTTCTGAAATACTTACGTATTTGAACATGTTGAGGATTTGTGGGTTGTGCTGCTGTTAGGAGTAGCTGTGGACTGATTGATAACAAACTACAGCAGGCAATCCATATTTATACCCAAAGCAGTCTTCAGTTGTGATTCATGTAGTTCATTGAAATGCAGAGGCAGTTGGTAAACACAGTTAAAGTTTAACGTTTTGTAGCCATTATCATTTCTGTTGCTTCCCATTGATTAATGTATAACACGTCGTAGGGCCAACGAATTCAAAAAATGCAACTGTAAGGTCACATTCGTAGTCCTCTTTTGGTATATATACCACAGATCGCACTGTTGAATGGCATCAGAGACTTTTAAAGCTTTCATCAGACTAGAAACTCAGTCAAGCCAAGCCAATATGTTCAAATTCGTACGTTATATAATTCTTTATTATTTAACTGAATTATTTAACTTATTTTGTTTAATTTTTGCAGACCGTTGTCATCCTTGCCATCATCGCGTGCGCTGCTGCTAAGCCAGGCTTTCTTGGTGCGCCTCTCGCTTATAGTGCTCCATTGATTGCTGCTCCCGCCCCGTATGTGACCGCTTCCAGTAGCCAGGTGTTCGCCCGTAATTACAATGGAATAGCCACTGCTCCTGTGGTTGCCAACTATGTGAGTGCGCCTTTGGCTGCACCAATTGCTGCTCCAGTGATCTCCAAGTATGTGGCAGCTCCATTGGCTGCTCCTTTGGCCTACAGTGCGCCCCTTGGCTATGCTGCTGCCCCAGCGCCTCTTTTACTTTAAGCAATACAACTGTGATCATCGAAACTATAATAAACTGCTTTACGAATCAACAATATAATCAAATTGCTTTTCTATCTTGCCAATTAAATTCTTATAGCAGCATCTGGCCAACAATTTGTTGCTAAAGGCCTATTGCAATTAATTAGGCTGCATCAGCTGAAGTGTTTGTGGGTCGGATAAATCTTTGGATTTGCCTAATTATATAGATCTTTATATATTTAACTTTACAGTGGAGGGCATGAACTCCATTGGCATTGTTTCCTTACACTTATTACTGACTTACGTTAATCAGAGTAAATTAATTTAATTAAAGAAACTCTTGTCAATATATCGCTTGCTGAGCTCTAAATATCAGAAATATTAAATACAGTTTTAATGTGTGAATTGTTTTCTGTGAGCAAACATTGTCGATTCAAATTCATATTTCAATGCTGCGCTCGCAACTGCAGTTTAGAATTTCCACAATAAATTGATTATTATTTATATTATATTATTTAATATTTTCAAACCAGGTCATTTAATTACAGTGATTGATAAAATGCCCAGTTTAATAATTACACACATTTATCTCAAACAACTGGTGACCAATGAATCTCACCTGTGTAAGGTATACCATTGAAGCTTGGAGTTGTTAACAAGCTTTGCGATTCCAATATCAAACAACAAATATTTCAATTTTCTCTTCGTATATTTATTTTAATCAAGATATTCTTAAAACAGAATAGGGGAAGCAGCAGCTGCGTATGTCAGTGGTGAGCTGTAGGCCAAAGGAGCTGCCAATGGAGCGGCCAGAGGAGCTGCCAATGGAGCAGCTGCGTACTTGGCGATGACTGGAGCAGCAACTGGAGCGATCACTGGAGCAGCGGCGATGCCATTGTAGTTGCGGGCGATGACCTGGCTGCTGGTGGCAGTCACATAAGGAGCAGGAGCTGCGACCACTGCAGCGGGAGCAGCAGCTACCAATGGAGCATTGTAAGCCAGGGGACTGCCCCGGAGTATACCAGGCTTGGCAGAGACGGCAGCGACGATGGCGAAGATAACAACGGCCTGTAAGCAGAAGGAGTTCAGTAATAGACTCCAGGTATGTCCTTCTGAAATACTTACGTATTTGAACATGTTGAGGATTTGTGGGTTTGTTTTGCTGTTGGGAGTAGCAGTGGAATGTGATGTCCAACTAGTGTTTGCAGTCCGTATTTATACCCCAAACAGTCTTCATTCAGTTGTGATTCATGGGGTTCATTGAAATGCACAGGCAGTTGGTAAACACGGTTAAAATTGAACCATTTGCAGCTATTATCAGTTCGCATGGCTCTTTATTTTATTTTCCATTGATTAATGTATAACACGTCGTGCTCGAAAAATGCAGCCATAAGGTCAATGTTGTTAAATTGCTTGCAGTATAATTTAGGCAGGTTTTTCTCCTATGTTCGATTCTTCATTTCCTAATCCTAAAATTTCTATAGGTCCTTAAACTTGTGGGCTGAGCAATTTCATACATCCGGCAATTGCACTCGCTCATTTTATTGATTGTCGTCCCCTTCCTCTTTAGCTCACATTATGATGAATATATATCAAAAATAAATGTATAATTCTTAAATTAATGTCAACTTTGCGTATTTCTGTGTGTCCATAGCTTATTCTAATTGGACTTGCGGCTGGGCCATAAACAAAAGCTTCGTAACGGCAACGACCGTTGTCCAATTGGCTTGCATGTCACGTAGGTCACGTTAAAATTATTGTCAACACTGGCGAAGCGACGCGTGACATTAAACTGTCCAAAAGCAACTTTGAATTTGTTTTGGAAAAAAAACCTGGCATTTATGTCAAGGTCATGGGGAAATGGACAGCAAACCGTTAACTGTAAGATAAAGCTCGATTTTAATTATAAAAACATAATGAGTATGGGAAAAAATGATAGATTATTTATAGAGCTGTCTCAAAGGCGTCAACGGTTAAAAACTGCAGTTGAATTATGCAATTTTATAAATTTAATTAATAAATTAAATTAATAAAATCTATAAATAACAATGATGCTTATTAAAAAATATAAATATTTTATAACATTATGCTAGGCTTTTAGATTCAAACTTCTTATGAAAAATGGCATGGCATGCTTAGAGGAAAGCTTTTATTTTATAAAAGGACGTTTGTCTGGGGAGTACCCCTACTCAGTTAATTTATAAACATTTTTTTAGAGTATTTTCCATCAAGAGTTCATGTTCATATTTTTAAAAATATTCAATTTTCATTATGTATATTTTTAATATTATTTATTTATATTCCCCAATGCCAATTGGGGCTTAGACTAAATATTTTTTATATATATAAATAATTTATTGGCAATCGAAAATGTTTGAGCCAAGTTCAGCAGAAAATTTTGAAAGTTACATATATAACTATGCTTCAAATTTTGGAAGTAATCAAAAGCAACAAAATAGTAAAAGCTTTCCCTATAATTATACCCTAAGCCCATTGAAAATGTGAAGTGTGTTGAGTTCATAAAAACAATAAATTCTGTTGCGTTCTGTTTAGCAACACAATACAATATTTGTACACAAAATTATGGACCTCGAAGTTAGAGAGCTTAGCTCTTATATAGGTATCGTAAAGATAATTCACATGTCTCTTATTTTTTCGTTAAATAAAATAGATTGCGGATAAAACGAACTTCATTATTATCCGTCATGGGTATGCTTAAAGAAGATGCGTTTCGGTATAAGTTATATATTGCCATGAAGATATGTATATATATGTATTTGATTTATATATGTAACAGCGAGAAGTAGGTGTGGCAGAACTTAACAAACCCCAGCCTGCAGCCCAAGAACAGCTCCCAAGTACAACTTTCTTATTTGTTTTTCTTTAATATTTAATCAATTATTTATATACATTTTTACATATAATCACAGGTCGCTTTTTGGCTTAAATCAAAAGTGGCGCTGGAGCAGCTGCGTAGTTCAGCGGGGCAAAAGGAGAAGCTGCGTACCTGGAGTAGAGTGGAGCGCCCAGAGGAGAAGCAATTGGTGCTGCGAGGGGAGCAGCTGCGTACCTGGAGTAGAGTGGACCTGCCAGAGGTGCAGCCAGAGGAGCAGCCAAAGGAGCAGCCAGAGGAGCAGCCAGAGGAGCAGCCAGAGGAGCAGCTGCGTACCTAGCAATCAGAGGAGCAGCAATGGGCGCTGCTAGAGGAGCAGCTCGGACAACTGGAGCAACTGGTACTGGCACAATCAAGGGAGCAGCAGCAATGCCATTGAAGTTTCTGGCCACTACTTGGCTGCTTGTTGCAGTTATTACAGGTGCAGGTGCAGCAACGAGGGCGGCTGGAGCAGCCAGCGGGGCGTGCAGTAAGCCTGGCTTGCCGGCGGCACATGCAATCAGAGCGCAGAGGACAAAAGCCTGAGGAGAGAGAGAGAGAGGGAGACAGAATGAGTATATATGGAATGAGTAACAGGAGCAGGACAACATAAACCGCAGACAACTTACGTATTTGAACATGTTGAAGGATTTCTGATTGCTTTTTCGAGTTGGCACTTGAAAAGCGAAACTGTGTTTGATGACATGTCTTCGTTTTCGATTTATTTTTATAGCAAATCAAAACGCACGTGACGGACGCGCAATAGAAACAGAAGAAGAAAAAATACAGCAAAAATGTCTAAATTAGCATGCAGAGCGCACAGGCAAACTAAAGCAAAGCAAGCCAAGCGCTGACACACCTGAGCTAACTGTAACGGTAGCCGTGATGAGGCGTTGGTTAATATTGCAATTTTATTTTATATTCAAATGCATAAGCTGTAAACTGCAGTTGAACGTTGTAACTTTTGATACATCTTTATACGATATCAAATTAGTGTCAAAAAATCAGCTGCTTGACAGATTTCAAAATGATAGAGCTCATTATCATATTTTCTTAGTTAGGAATTTCAATTTCAAATTTACTTTCTCTTTTTGTGTTGTTCTTCTTTCTATTTATTTATTTTTATTTATTTATATATTATATTTTTTTTTCTATTTATCTCTTTCTTTTTATCTAAGTCTTCTTTTAGCTTTAGTTCTCTTTGGATTTTTGTCTTTTATAAAATCTTTGCATCTCACATGTCACTCTACTTATCTCTCTTTAACTCTATGTTTATCTTGCATCTGCTCTCTGTCTTAACGTACTCTCGATCTCTGTCACTGTTTAACTGTTTATCATTCTGTGCTACTCTTCATGCATCTGTAACTCTCTTTGTCATCCTCTTTTGCTCTTTGATCTCTTCAATAAGCTCTCTCTTCTCTGATGCTATCTTTCTAGCTCTTCAGCTTTAATTCTCGCCGTATCTCCCTCTTTGTCTATATCTTTCATCATGTCTTTTCCAATCAATCTATGTATATCTCTCTCAATCTATCTTTAAATTTAATTCTTTCAAGATCTGTATCTCTCTCTCTCGCTATATCTATAAATCTCTTCAGCCTCTTACTTAAGCTCGGACTCTTCTTCTGCTTATAGTATTGCATTTATTTATAGCATTTAATCAATAAGTTCAGTAAACCTTAAAGTAAAATCGAATTTCATCAGCCTTGACCTGATAAAAATGCGTTAAATAAAATGAAACAATTTTTGTGTCAACAAGCAAAAGTGTTCACTCCTCGTTTGTTTACATATATACATACATACATTTTCGTGTGTGTATGTACGTGTGTATCTGTGCTGACCCGAACTGTGTGGGCGGGCAATAATTTGAAGTTCGCTTTGGCCGTTTGTACGTGCTCAAAATGTTTAATTGCTCGAATTTCTCTCAACCAACTGGGATTGCTACCTGGAGCTGAATTGCGTTTTAAATAGTATTAAAATAAATAAGGGATAGATACGAGAGCTAAGTATCTGTTTCTGAATAAAGCAAATAGCATTCGTATGACTGACTTTGGCTCTGATTAAAATTTGTGTATGTGGCATAAAATATAACTTGGTATTGCAGTCAAGTAGCCGAGTCAAGTTGCTGCTAGCTGCGATACAACTTTAAGGCGCTTTGCGAACACACAAAATCAAATCAAATGCAGAAACTTATGCACATTTGCCATAGCAGGGAAGCCAGTTGTGTTTCCGTCTTCTATTCAGATCGCTTGCTGGGCTTAGGCTATATACATATATAGGAAATGACATGCGGAAAAATAATAGAACAAAAATGTTGGAGTTTTTATTATGCGTTTTCTGTCGTTTGAGCACTGCTCAGCTGACTGAAGCTCATCGCATTAGCCACAAGTCTCGCAGACTCAAAGTTGACAATTTATAGGATTTTGAAGTAAACAACTTTTATGGCTAATAATTTATTTATAACTAAAATACATATTTTATTTTAAATTTATTGTGAATCTCTTATAGAAAGTAGGTCTTTATTCTTAGTTATTTGAACTATTTATTTACGTTCATCATAATTTAGTAAGTTTCTCAATCAATTGAATTTCATGCACTTTGGTTTTCATACAAATCTTGTACAATTAGCTGCGGCAATCGCAATTGGCTGCCCTTCGGGTTTTGTCAGCCGAAGGCCCTCAAAGACATTTGCTGGAACTAACCAACGGCTCAGCGGCCAATTATAATGCCAGCACTTATAATGGGCAACGCGCTAGACGCAGGGCGCATTTTAAGTAGCTCCAGCACTGAATGCGTATAAATATGCGCTGCATGGCTCCAGTTTGACATCAGTTAGCTTTTCGCTTTCAAACCATCAGCAAGTCAGCAAATCAGCAAATCATCCGAATCAATTCAAGATGTTCAAATACGTTAGTTGTTGATGGCTTTTGGATACCTCGATAGCGTTTCAACTAATCCTTGCTCTACATTTTACAGGCCGTTGTCATCTGTGCTCTGATTGCCTGCGTTGCCGCGAAGCCAGGACTTTTGCACGCACCGCTGGTTGCACCTGCTCCGCTGCTAGCTGCTCCCGCTCCTGTGGTGACTGCTGCCAGCAGCCAAGTGGTGGCCCGTACCTTCAATGGCATTGCTGCTGCTCCTGTGATTGCTCAGGTTCCAGTCGCACCAGTCGCTCCAGTTGCTCCAGTTGTTCGGGCTGTGGCACCAGTTGCTGCTCCATTGGCTGCTCCAGTTTTCCGACCAGTGGCTGCCCCATTGGCTACACCATTCGCCGCTCCCTTGGCTGCCCCACTTGCAGCTCCCATTGCCCATCCCTATGCGGCACCTGTGTTTGCCAAGTACACAGCTCCACTGGCTTATGGAGCAGCTCCGCTCAGCTATGCCGCAGCTCCGCTCAGCTATGCCGCAGCTCCCGCATTGTGGTAGAGCAGTCAGCTCCCAGCAAGCAAGGATTAACAACGTGTTTGTGTGTTCAATGACTGATAGCCTTTAATAAAAATCGTTCAACTTATTACAAAAAGTGCAAAAATTGCTTCTCCATTGTTTGTCTAGACCGCAATGTTGGCCAATTTTCGGTGCTATATGGCTGGGCATAACAGCTTTATAATTGCTTTTGCAACACTGGAAAGTTCTGGGCAGCAGACATATGAAGTGTGGCAAGTATATATAGGCAGCAAAACCTTTCAACTTTCGATATTGAGTTGGGAGTACCGAAGACAGGATTAAATAAGACAGACTTACCTGGCTTCTAAATGTTTTTAAATTTTTATTATGAGCTCATAATAAATATCTTTTAATATTTCATATATTTTGTTCATACACCTCAGCAGAAAGTGTATTAAAAATGCAGTGAAGCAACTACTGGGCTTTCTTTCTAAATGGTTTTTGGTTTGGTTTTTTTTGTTTAGCTCCGATGTAGGTAGAGAGGTTGGCCGAGTCAATCGTTTGTGGCGCAATGCTTTTATTCAGGTCATTTGTGTTGCATTGTCCTACGTCTTTCACTTGCGTCCATCTAAAATGAATTATGGCACATGTCCCTGTGCTCTTGTTTGAGTGTGGGCGTGGCAGGTCAGCTGCTGCACTGGACCTCGCCCGATGGCAGTGCTGGCCAGAGTTCAGGTTCATGTCGTTTCTCATGCGCTTTTCCCTCATATTTGCCATTCATTTGGCTTTGGCAAACAAAAGACGAACGGACCAATAAATGTTCAAATAATTTCATTCGATTTCTCTAGTGTATGCTGCAGAAATTTAAGCTTTAAGCAAAAGGGCTGTGGGCTGTGGGCTGTGGGCGTGGGCTGAGGGCTGAGGGCTGAGGGCTGTGGGCTGCACAACTAACTAATGCAAAGTTGAAAGCGAAAACTTAAACGGCAAAGATAAGCGGCACACGCTTGCCACGCCTCCTCCCACTACTACGCCGCGCCTTCGCCTTAGTTGATTTTCAACAGCAGCGCAAACGCAGAAAAGTTTATCCTCAATTAAACTTTTTGTTGTTGCGTAAAATTGCTCCAGAGTTCAGTTTGTCTGTGCCTCAGTGTGCTGTGTGTGTGTGGGAGTAGATGAGTGTGTGCGATAGGCCATACGTCAGAGCCACATGCAGGGATCACTCTCTCTCTCACTCCTTCTCTATCCAAATGCCAGCCTCATCTTCATTTGTTGGCTTAACTTTTAACTCCACTTGCCTTAATTTTTGTTCACATTATTCTTGTTTTTGTTGTGCTCGGCACATTTTTGGTAATTTCCGCCTTTGGCAAGTGCTCGACATAAGAAATTCTATGAACTTCACTTATTTCATCTGAAACCTAGCCCAGGCCCTCGCTCAGCTCTTGGCACATTTCATTAGCTTTCCTCACATGCGTTTTCTCTTTTCCTTTCTCTTTCTCTTTTTTTTTAATTTATTGCATCATTGCGCTGCCGACTCTTTCCTATTTGGTAATTGATTTTACATCGACTTCTTGTGCAAACTTTTAATGCACATTCACGTGTAATTAGAAAGGCTTCGGCAAGAATTCCAATCTGTTTTTCTTGAGGGACTATTTCTCATTTAATATTTGGTTTTCCCGGCATGCGAAATGTCTTCCATTTGTTTTCATTTAACTTGGAATATATAGAAGATAAATATTGTTATTGTTGATGAACTTAAGTGAGCAGCGTGCTGCTTGATATCTATTTCTATTCCTGGACTTAAAAGGAAAAAAGTGAAAAATTTTCTTAGCAAACACTTAGCATTCGAAAGCTGAAGATTTGCCAGGCAAGAGAACAGTCGGTATGACGGCTTTCGTTGCGGTTGTTTGGCAGCGTTTCCAGCTCGCTTTTGGGTGAGTGGTTGCTGGTGGTGGTGGCAGTGGCTTTCAGCCTTTCAGCTAAAACACCGCTCGAAAATCCAGCAGCAGCAGCCTGGCTTCTGGCTTTTGATATGGGAACGAGAACAAGCCTTGCACGGTGCTTGGTACACCGACTACGTGATTTGTTTGCCAGAGCAATTTACATGTCCGGGCATGCAGGAGATGTATAGATGACAACAGCGTGTCTGTCCGTGTGTGTGTGTGTGTGGGAGAGTGGGTGTTGCCTAGCACTTTGACATTTGGCACCCGCCGCCAAGGATTTCGCAGCGATAGAAATGGAGGGAAAAATTGAATGCGTGTAAAGCGTGGAAGCTTCAACAATTGGATGCGAAAACAAAAACCGCATTGCTCCACAAAAATGTCAATGGACGACAGTGCACAAAGCGTAATTTCAGCAGCCAGCGCCAGGTGGCGCTGCAAAACTTAATCACCTAATGCAAAGCGACGCGCGTTAAGCGTCTAAATAATGAGCAGCCGTCGAACGGAAAATGGCAAACGCTTTGCCAATTTGCATAGCCAGCTAAATGCAATTGACAGACGGAGTTGGAGTTGGAGTTGGAGTTGGAGTTGGAGCAGCCCGAGCAGGGTAGGAACACCGCCACAGTGACAGGGCTTAACAATGCTAGAGCTGACTGCGCATATACATATATATTAGGAAAAAAAAAACAGAATGGGGAGACGCGCCTTATTTAAATGAAACAAAAAGCATTTGGGCATGTCTGCATCGTTGCCCGTCAATTGACATAAGCTGGGAATTTGCACGCTAAGCCATTTCAGTGGGGGATTGATTTTGCTCTACGCATATTACGCATACGCCGCATGTGTCAAAGGTGCCAAGAAATGCCAACTGCATTTGCGAATCTCTCACAAATTTTCCTTTAACACACACCCACACACAGTCGAAAAAGCAATCTTCACGTCTGCCAGGAAGCATGCCACCAACGAAAAAAAAAAAATAAAATAAGGGAAAAATTGAAAAGGAGAAAGTTTTTGTCGAAGTTTGTTTTGCCAGGCTCTGGGCTGAAGGGTTGCCTGGCCTGGCTCACATGTGGGACTGCTTGTGTGTGTGTGTGCGTCTTATTTGCTGACACACCGATCCGCATTTAGTTGCGAAAGCGAAAAATAATTAATTAAGAAGTGCAAATCATAGCAAAATTATGCGGGCTGTCAAATTAAAACTAAAAGTAAACGCCAGCAGCAGACGCCCGGAAATAACCAGACATCGTTTAAAGATACACAAAAGGCTGGAATCACCCAGCCACACACACGCTTGCCAGCTGCTGGAAAGGGAACTCGAAACTCCTGCCAGGAAATTGCCAGAAATTCAACTTAGCTCCTGACATAGCAATTAGCACTTCCCTTTTTTTCGAGGCGGAGGGAAATTGTTACTTGAAAACATTTGTGTTTAGGCCAGAGAGATATATCTATATATATAAAATATCTATCTAAATTACCAATAGTTGCTGAGTAAGCGCTTCTTTAACTATCAATTAAAGCTAATCTGAGCCAATTAGTTGCCTGCTCAATGTCACAACCGATAGCAAGCGCAATTACCTGCAGTAGCCTCGGCTCAACTGTCCCGTTGCCTACTTTTTGACATCTTCAAAACTTGGAAGCAAACAATTTACGATCTGACGACATACTCGAGCCCACGAGCTCTTTGAAAACTCTGCCATGTGCAATTGTAGCTGCCAAGGCTATCTGAAAGCCTCAACTCGAATTGAGTTTTGGCTCCTTGAGAGCTACACTGGGCCGGGCTTGCCAGTCGTCCTGGCCGTCGTCGTCGTCGACAAGCAGAACTCAAAACACCAGAGGCCTTTATACAAGCACAACTTGCCGTCACTCTATCTGTCTGTGTATTAAAACTTTTGTAATAATCTACAGCAAATGCGCAGCATCAGCGTCTTCACCTGGCCCCCGTCTCGACTTCGGGTCCACAACAAGCAAAGTTCCGGGGCGCCATTTTGCTTTTACTATTTGTTTTTGCGACTTCTGTTGACGTTGTCTCCAGTCTTTCACCTCACTGCCAGCTCCCATCTAGCCACAGCCCCATCTGCTCTTTCAGCGCTTCATGTTGCCCGCGGCGCACAAACTTTACCTTTGCCCAAATTTCATTTATAAACATTGCGAAGCGAGGGACTGCAAATTGAGTGTTTAATTGCAATGAAGTTGCATTCGGATGTCTGCGGCAACATATGCACCGAGGCATCGCCAACAACCGGAAGCCAGAATCAGATTAGCTGTTGCATGGCAACCACTTGAACTTCGAATTGTTACGCACTTGCAATACACATGGCCCTGGCTGCTGTCTTAGTTTTGTAAGAAAAATTAAGTTCGAGTTGGCGTGTGTCGAAAATAAAATATAGCTAAAATGTTAAGCAGCAAATGATCAGGCAAATAAACGGTTCTGTGATTTGTGTTGTGGTGGAAATGTTAATAAATAGAAATATATATATTATAGATCCATTATTAATGACTGATCAAAGACTTGTTGAGTGAGTTCTATATATAATATATACGCGTTTCTTTAATTAAGCTGGACTGAACTGTTAGCCTCACTCTTTGCTTGTGTTATTATAATGAAAATAAATTTTCCATGCATCGCAAATAATATTATATTTATTTTGTTAATATCTAAGAGACAACTTCTCTTTCGTGTTACAGAACTCTTACTCTAGTGTCATCAAAATGAAGAAAACACTCTAAATATTAAGTGTAAGCCAGTCAAATGTCAAATTTTTAATGGTTAGGCAACTCTTGTGTAATCTGTCACCTCAACGAAACTCTCCTGTGATCTCTGAAGCTGCTGTTTTTTTATTTTTATTTTTATTTTTTTTATTTCGCTGGGGCCTTTGATTGCCAGGCACTCCTAGAGTCTGTGGGAGCCAATCATTTCGTTTGCGTTTTCATGACGCAGAGCGTCAAAAGTAATTTGCATTTAGCAAATATTTGCTGGCAACCAAGCCGCCAACTCTACTCAACTCTGGCAGGCCTCCCTCCAAGCAGAGCCTAACATCAAAGCCTCGCGCCGCGATGCGTGTCAAAGGCGTTGGCATAGCTTTAAATGTAACTCGCCTGCCTGAC